GCCGGAGCTGAAAATGTAACAGGCAGAAGGAGGCGTGGCAGACCCCAAAAAGTATATATATTCTTAATCAGCATGACGAGACGAGTTGATATAGCTCTGTCCGTCTGTCCGTATGAACACCTGGATCTCAGAGACTATAAGAGGTAGAGACACCAAACTTTGCACAAAGATGCGTTATGTATGTACGCTATGGAAGTTTGTTTAATTTTTTTGATTTTCCCCCCCACTTCCCCCTATGGGGGTTTTCCCGATTTTCCATTCGTATAATCGCTTATATCTCGGAGACTATAAGACCTAGGAACACCAAATTTTAGTATCAGATGCCTTATGTGAATACACAGAAAATGTGTATTTTGGAATTTTCCTCCCTCTCCCCTCTCCCATGCAAATCGCGATTTTCTCAAACTCCCGGATTTCTTAGAATTTTGAACTAAAATTTTGCAAATACCCCCAGTTAGTAATTATGTGTCCGTATTTAACAAGAAGTTATAGCCATAAATATGTTTGCTGCTCCAGCGCTGCTCAAGCGCTGTGCAAGCGCTGCCAGCGGCTGTTGTTGATGCTGGTGCTGTGGTTGACTGCGAACATGCTTACACCGACACGAATAGACGCGTATAAACATACATACACTCACATAGACGCAATTGCTTTGTATATGTGCAATTATACACCCTTTACGTGAGTTCAAATACCAAAAGACGTAAAATAAATCAAAAATTTTTTTTTAATTCTCTTACTTTTTTTAATTTCTATAATTATTCTAAGCATTTTTCAAAGTCGTGAGACCCGACTTTAGATTTTTTACTTGTTTAATTTCAATTAGTATTGTAAACATATGTACAGAGTATTTAAAAGTCGGGACACCCGACTTTAGCTTTTTTACTTATTTTTGAAATGAAATTGCTGGAAAATATTCGAAATTGCGGGAAGCAGGGATTCTGGCTTTTTCAAAATGCATTTAGCTTTTTTTCTGTTTTTTGTAATTTTTCCAACATTTATGTAAGAAAAAGTGGAAACGTTGCAGCTTTATCATTATTATACTACTCTGTACATGAAATGTACAAGACTATATTAGGTTTGCGCGAGCTGAAAAATGTAACAGGCAGAAGGAAGCGTGGCAGACCCCACAAAGTATATTTATTCTTGATAAGCGTGACAAGACGAGTCGATCTAGCTCTGTCTGTCAGTCTGTCCGTTCGTCTGTCTGTCTGTCCGTCCGTATGAACACCTGGATCTCAGAGACTATAAGAACTAGAGACACCAAGGTTTGCACAAAGATGCCTTATGTATGTACGTTTCATTTTTCTGATTTTCCCCCCACTTCCCCCCTATGGGAGTTTTTCCGATTTTCCATTCGTATAATAGCCTATATCTCGAAGACTATAGGGACACCAAATTTTAGTCCCAGATGCATTATGCGAGTATGCAGAAAATGTGTATTTTGGAATTTCCCTCCCTCCCCCCTTCCCCACACAATCATTGATTTCCCATAACTCCCGTAATTCCTGGAATTTCGGACTCAAATGTGACAAATACTTCCAGTTAGTGATTATGAGTCCATATGCCAAGTTTCATAATAATAGGCCAATTTAACAGGAAGTTATAGCCATATATAATCTAAGGCCAAGCAATGCCCGCAGCTTTTGTTGATATTGCTTCTAGCACTGCTTTGCACTGCACTTCTGCTATGCGCTGCACTCAGTGCTGCCAACTTTTTAGAAGGAAAAGAAAAGAAAAATGCTAAAGTTGTGTTTACATGATACGCTTAGAAAAATGTATTTTCCAAGGTTTTTTATCATCTTAGCGAACATTTTAACTGATACTTACGCATTTTGGTTTGTGTTCTCGTATGCACCTACAAAAACGGTCAATCTGCGCTATTGCTGTATGCTGATCAACAGTTAGGCACAGAGCTGCTTTTTGCTTCGGTAGCTTTACGGGTCAGCAACAAAACCATGTATGAAAAGAGTTCATTAGACTATCATTATTCACCACATATGGGCAAATATTGATCAAAAAAATAATGATAAAGCTGCATCGTTTCCACTTTTTCTTACATAAATGTTCGGAAAATTACAAAAAGCGGAATAAATGCATTTTTAACAAGACAGAACGCTACAGTCGAGCAAGCCCGACAGTAAAATAGCCTGTACTCTCCACAAAACAAGAAAAAAAAATTAGTAAAAAATATATACCTGTACATAGAAGACATGCTTACAGCTTCAACAGCATACATTAACATCATGGGTCTATGCGTGTTTATATGCGTGTATGTATGCAGCACAAAGTTGAACCCAAGCAGCAACAACAACAGCTGCGGGCAGCACTGCAAGCAGAGCATGAGCAGCGATTTTATTTATGGCTATAACTTTCATCAGAATTGACCATGATGGAACTTGGCATACGGACACATGATCACTTACTGGATATGACTACCAAATTTGAGTTCGAAATTCCAAGAATTACGGAAGTTATGGAAAAAAAACACGAATTGCGGGGGAGTGGGGGGGTGTATCAGAAAAAAAAACACAAACTCTATCTGCCTAATGCTTAGGGGAACGTGAATGTCAAGTTTGGTTATTCTAGCTATTGCAGTTGCTGAGATCCTTGCGCTCATACAGACAGACAGACGGACCGACGGACGGACAGACGGACATGGCTATATCGACTAGTCTTGTCATCCTGATCAATAATATATATACTTTGTGGGGTCTGCCACGCCTCCTTCTGTGTGTTACATACACAAAAACTAATATAGCCTTTTACCCTTTGGGTACAGACTATAAAAAGCCAGAATTCCCAGAATTGAAATACTCTGTACTTATGCTTAGTATAATTATAAAATCACGATTTGCGCGGAAAGAGTGGGGGGGAGGGGTGGAGTGGAATTCCAAAAAACACATTTTCTGCGTATTCACGCTAGCCATCTTGGAAAATTCTAAGGAAAATTAATCAACGGCACATACTACGTGTATTTCGTCGTTCGAGCAGACATAACCGTCACTTCAAAAAATATTTAGAAAATTTATTTAATTTAATTAATTAATTAAATTAAACATGAAATATTCAATACATGGCTACATACATACATAGGTGTTTATGTACTATTTCAACAGCATACATTTACATCACAATCGTGTCTATGCATGTTTGTGTACTTGTAAATACATATGTATGTATATATGTATGTATGTATGTATGTATGTGTGCATTACGTAATTAAGTCAAAGTAGGAACAACAACAGCTGCTGGCAGACGTTGGGCAGACGTTATATTTATGGCTAAAAGTTTCATTATAATTGACCTATCATGATGACACACATACTGACACACAATCATCAACGGAAAGATTAATTAATTAAATTTTTTTTAATTTTTTTGGGTGGTACAAGGTATTTAAGAGTTGAGCCCGCTTGACTTTATTCCTTTCTTGTTTAAAGTAACTTTTAAAATTTCATATTTCTTACATTTGGGAGTGGGTACAGGGTATTTAAGAGTTGAGCATACTCGACTCTAGCATTCCTTTCTTGATATGTATTTATTTGTGTTGTGTTATTTTGAATCGTGCTTAATGGAAATCAAAATTCAAACTTTAATTTGGTAGTGAAGAAAGTTGTATCTATAAATATAATCTCTGCCCAAGATCTGTTCGTAGCTGTTGTTGTAACTACTGTTGTTGTTGTTAGTGTAATGTACACATACACGCATAGAATCGATTCTGATGTAAATGTATGTATGCATGTGCTGAATATTTTATATTTAATTTAGTTAATTAATTATATTTTTTTAATTAATTTTTTCTTAAAGTCTAGCATTCTTTTTTTTGTTTCTTTTCAAACCGTGTTAAATCAAAAACATAATTAGGTGAATACGTATAGCTCTATACTGAAAGTTTGTCTTGGTACAGGATATTTCACTGACGGATTTGCTTGGCTGTAGAGTTCTCTCTTGTTTTTTTATAGTCTTCTTAATTTTTTTTTTTTTAATTATTATACACATATGTACAGAGTATTTCATAGTCGGGACACCCGACATTAACGTTTTCACTATTGAAATTTATAAAATTTTCTTAAACTTCCTATCCCTAGCGTAGGTAATATTTTATCACCTAGTTTATTCAATAATATATTCAATTTGCAGTAAACATAAAGTATAAATTATGGGCTTTCAAATATTTGCACAAAACCTATAGTAAGAAAAATATTTGTAGGTACTGTATTTTGCAACCTGTACACGAAATAAATGTATGTCAATCTTTAAAAATCAATGTTGACCTAAAGTTTTCGAAGAGTGCTTTTTTTTTATAAGTTAACATGTAGGTATCTAAGTATGTGTATTTTACTTAAATATTCACGCATCTTGTTGTTGTTTGTTGTTTTTTATTCACACTTTTTATTTCATCTTTTCAAGCCAGATTATTTAGTTTGTGTCAAATATTTAGTTATAACAGATCGTCATGCCGCATAATTGTGTACCTATACATATGTATATATACTTATGTATATAAAAACAAACTTTAAATTCCTAAGGTGCCCATATCGTCTGACATTTACGGATTGAAAATTTATAAAATGACAATTTAAATTTAGTAAACTAAAGCCTATTTAATATTTTGTTAGATGGCATATTTAACTATTTAGTACATTCAAAAAAAGGTTTTTCATTCATGAAATACTATATAAATTAATTGGTCAACAATAATTTTCTTCAAGTACACATAGTGCACTTATATTACACGAAAACAATGTATGTCGATCAGTAAAACTCAAGGTTGACCGAAAGTTTTCGAAGAGTGCATATTTTATTAGTATAAGTAGGTATGTACGTGTATTTGTATTTAATTTGAATATTCACTTATATTTTCGTTTGTTTTTCATTCGCACTTTGTATTTCCGCTTTTCGAATTCGATCATTTAGTTTGTGTCAAATATTTAGTTATAACAGATCGTCGTGCGGAATAGTTGTGCCACACTTTAAAATTGTTAAAAAAATTATTACCGCAAAAAAAAATTTAATTTACTATTCACCACTAATGTAAATAATCTCATTTCGATCGAAGTGGTGGAAATTAACTGCATCAATGTTATATAACTTACTATAATACTTTTGGAAAAATAGTTCAATTATTGAATGTGTTGTACATATTTAAAAGTGCTTAAAAATATAGAAAAACTATGTTCTGAAAAAACACCTCTTTCAAGTAGTAAAAAGTGGAAAGAGAGAAATCATTCTAAATGGGTGTAATATATAGTGTACAACCAGAATTGTGATATAGTGCCTTAATGATAAAAAGCATTGACATTCAACTTGGAAGTTTGCGATGTTTCAAGGCATGCATATGTAAATACATATTCACACTCACTCAAATGTTCATATATACATACATATGTACATACATGTACATGTATATTACATAAATTCCTACACACACACATACTTGAATACGAATGTACGGGTATGTTTCCACATGCAGCTGCACAGATTCGCTTATATTTTATATTCTGTGTGCTCAGCGTAGTCTAGCAACCTTCAACGTTGCCGATTTCGTCCCTTTGCATATTGAGCATTCTATATTTGTAATTTTTTGGTTTTTATAATTCAGTACACATGCGGTTGCAAAATTATTTTTACTTAGTACAAGTACTTAATAGGAAAACATTGTAGATTTGCTTATTAAAATTTTAAAATGATGCCATTTCAGTTTAGTTCTTGGCATCACCTACGCCACCGCTTTTTTATGACCTAAGTACACCCGAAACGAAAAACCGAATCAATCCGTTTTTGTAACAACCAACGCGTTGTATATCAGTTCTACTATGTAATCCAAGGCATATCTGCTTTGATTTGAATAATCTCTGTACCTGAATACTATACGATTTGTGCAAAGCGAAAAAAGGTAACAAGCAGAAGGAGGCTTCGTAGACCCCATCAAGTATATACATACATATATTCTTCATCAGCATGATAAAACGAGTCGATTTAGCCCAGTCTGTCTCTCGACATGATCACCTAGAGCTAGAAATGTAGCTTAGTTTAGAGTTTCCATTTGTTATTATTATTATTTAATTATTATGTAATATTCAAATTCTATACTGAAAGCGTTTTACGAGTAGGACCTATTTACGCTAATAGCAGAACTCTGGCTGATAATGTTTCAGCTGCTGCTGCTTGGGCGATCCATGTGTATACCGTAAACATATGAGGTGAAAAATGTATGCAATTTCTTACATAAGCATATGTGTGCGTAGAAATGTATATAGTTATTTTATTAATCCAAGGAAAAGAGTATACTAGGCTTATACGATTATACAGTATGAAATACACAACCGACGCGGCAAATCCCACAAGGGATATGATATATATTTTTGAATATTTTCGCGAAATGTGGGCTGATATAGACATATCCGTCTTTATATACGCAAGATTCTTTAACCATTTAGGCACAGGGCATTAAAACATCTATCATCTAACCATTATTTTAAATTGGTAAATACTGCAGTTTTTTAAATCATCTGCATATCGAATAAAGTGAATATATAGCGAATCTGTAAATACGAAACATTTTCCAGAGCAAGTCCATATACTTAGCAGAAAACAAAAAATCAAATAAAATCAATAAAATACTTATACAAAAATAGTACTAAAAAAATATATTATATTAAAAATATCTGAGCATTAAAAACAAAGCAATCGGATTCAAACATTGGCCGCAATAACGTATTATACAACATAAATACAATGCTAATAAAACAAAGCCTTTTAAACAAATCGAAGATGGCACAAAGCTTCTAAATTATTGCTTACGGCAGCTCAAGCCAGCTCAACTTTTTTCGAAGAACCGTCTAATTCCAAACTGAACTACAGAACCAAGCACACAGGATGAGTACGTACATTAATTAATTTCCCTCTTATAGGTTACGTTGTCGCTTAATTGATTAGATTTTTGTATGTATAAATAGTTGCTTTCTATACAGCTCACAACTATTTATTACCAGATGTCGCAACTATTTTCAATTTGCGAAACGTCCCTAGGTGAACAAATAAGTAAACAAACTAATGCTTTAATTTCCAAATTCATTCTTTCCTTCAGTATTTAGCTTATGTACTAGTTTTTCCTTATGTACTAACAATTTAATATTAGACTTTTTCTTATTCTCTAAACATTGTACTTACTCTAATTTTACCTTTTTTGTCTTATTCTATCCTGTTCGTGTCAAGTGGTTTTCCCCTCCATATGTTTATTTGAAGCCTTTTTCTTATCTAGTGCATTGCGTGGGTACGCACCGTACGCACCTTAACCGTTGTCGCTCCAAATGCAGATACATTCCTTTCTATCTACCATGCGTTGTTCTGTAGCGCTGCTGCGTGCGGCTATTTTTAGACCGAGATTTTGCTTAGCCTACCTACTGCTTGTGTGCCCTAACTAACTAACTTCTGACCTCATGTTCACTTTTGTGAACAATATGAATATATAGAGAGTATGAGTTATACTATTCTCGTTCAATCAATATGTTACGTTATGCAGTTCACATTTAATTAATAAGTTTATCTCTTAATCTTGCCTCCGGTTCAACACTTGGTAAAGGAACAAAGAGCCGCTGAAGATGAGGCTGAGTGCCACTCCAACTGCAAACCAGACCTTAGGTGACCCGGCTGACGCAACCTCATCCCTGAACTCGCGGATGGTATGCAAGTTTTAATTACTCATCCTATGGAGGAGCGGCATGCTCAGAACCGGATCGTGGCTGATGTTTAAAAATGGTCATGCCGCTATGCCCGGAGTTTTGGTGACGAGGTGTGTGCCCATTGTTGATATCTCAGGGCCGTTGTCTGTACTAATCCGGGCCGGGCTCTCGTTGATGATTATGACACCGTCATCCACGAGCACGATTTGCTTCAGATGACTGGGCTGAGAGTGTCAGAGAGCTGTGCCTCCAGCGTGCAGTGCGCGTGCGCAAGTGTCATGGTTCGCCAGCCTGCAGAAAGTAGTATAGGTTGTTGCGGTGCACTCCGTGACTGCTGGGGATACCCCAGCGCACTCAGCCACGGTGTCATCTTGTAGCTGCAGCACAGTGTGATGATGGGACACGGGGAATATGGTGACCTTTTTGCAAATAGACTTAACCCTGAGGTACGCAATTAATATGTGAACAATATTTTCGGACTGAAAGACTTTTATGCTCGATGCCTCCATTAACTAACTAACTAACTATGAGTACGTCTATTATTATATTTTATTACTAGCAGGTATTGCCCGTCTTAACCCGGCTCAATATAATGTTTCCAATTGTATTTATTTTGTGTGTGCATAACCTACCCATATGTTTTCACCTTATAAGTTACCAGTAGGAAGGCATTTAAGGTATTTAAATGAACATTTTCTGTTCTTGACAAAAAATTGTTCAGTAGTCCGTTACATTTTTGTTCTTGCCAAACTATTTCTTTAAACGAACATGACCACTATAACTAATATTTTTTTAAACCTCCCCCCTTTGGAGTTAGAATTTTCCAAAAGCCTTTCTTAGTGTGCTCCTACACTATGATGGATACTATGAAATGATACTTGAGTCCAAATTTCATCTTTTACCGTTTGGGCTGTGCGTTGATCACCAATTAGTCAGGACAAACTGTTTTATATATAGAGATAACGCAACGTTTTAAGATAGACTATGTGCAAAAAAGGGGAATAATTATAAGGGTATATCCTAATTTTAAATTCACATTTGAGTCAATACGGTCACGCACAACCTCGGAGTATGAAACACGGCACTCGTGTCAATGCCGTGCAGCGATGAGCCACGATCAAAAAGCACTGACAATTCTCATCTCAATTTGCTAGAGTAAAACTTTCGATAGTTGAAGCCACCGATACCATCAAAATATCGAAGTTTGAATGCAATAAGCAGAATATTTAAATAATAAAATCTAATTATTTATTGAGATCGATAAGAACAAATCATATACATACATACATCTGCCCGCAATGCGAAGCAGAATATGCGTAGCTCCGTTATTCGGTTTCTGCTTTACTATCGCATACGCAGTCGTTGCTTAGCGACGGTAACTGTAAACTTTTGGCGTTTTGCCTTTGCAATTAACATTAAATGGTCAAAACGAAAGAAGATGAGCGAGCCAACAACTTGAAGTTGTTGTTGTTGTTTTGTATTTACATGCTTCATACATATACAGGCATAGATACATATGCTTGTACATATGTATGTATGCATGGGCACACATAGACACGAACTGTTCCCAACTATTTGATATTTGATATATGGCAAGTAAAAAACATATTGCTATATTTTAATCGTTGAATGCCAATTTGTTGATATAGTTATGTTGATTACATTACCCAAATTTGAAATCGATCGGACAAAATTTATAACACAAACTATTCATTTGAAAAAGTGAATAAATATTAAAACCCCAATAATAAAATTAAATGCGATATATCGAAAATATCGATACTTGTGTTGATATATCGTAATACATGTCGAATACAAATACATCGAAAAACATCGTTTGAGAGTTATTGATTATAATACTGTATTCGATTGTACACTGTACACATACATACATACAAATGTATTTGTATGTGTACTGTAACTGTAAACTTTTGGCATTTTGCGTATGTAATGAACAGGCGTAAATGATCAAAACGAAAGAAGATTTGCGAGCCAATAACTTGAAGTTGTTGTTGTTGTTTTAAAAATTTTGATTTGAAACCATAGAAAACTATTTTTTACAATTAAACAACAGTGTTCGATAGCCCACTGCATACTTGTACATACAAACCTATATATGTATATAGGAATGTATGAACGTACATACATACTTATTGATGTACATACATACATATGTACATGCTATACATACAGACGTATGTACGTATGTAATACATATGGTGCTGGCGTAATTCATAATGCGAAATTCTTTCTAAGGGGAGAAATGTCCCCCCTGCCCAACCTGCGTACGCCCTTGTAGTCTGTTGTCCTAAAAACTCCTTATGCCAAATGTACTAAACAAAGAAAAAATAGCATAAAAATGTTTATGTTATAATGTTAATAATTTTTAATTAATTAACATTTCTTGCCCTGTCAGTGCAAGACGAATGTACTTTTGTACATACATATGTATGTATGTATGTACATACATGTGTACAAATGAACATTCACACATTAGTGTCTCACATTTTGCTTTGGCTACTTCAACCGTTTACACGCAACTACACGAACAGCTGCTTGTATGTATGTATGTGTGTGTGTGTGTATGTATACTTAGTTGTCCCCAACTGTTTGATATTTTGTATTGTTTGTTCTACCTGCATTTGTAAAATGCATATTTTAAAAATCGTTAAATGCAAAGTTGTAATTTTAGTTACGTAGATTATATTACCCAAATTTGAAATCGATCTGACAAAATTTATAACACAAACTTTTCATTTGAAAAAATGAATAAATATTAAAACCCCAATAATTCAAGCTCCAACACAAATTGAAAAACCGAGTATGCAGTTTTGTTTGTATTCTTTTATAGATTATAAAACCTAAATTTAAAGTTGATCGATTCAAAAATGCAGAATTTTCAAACAAACTTTGGAGCTACTTTTCCCCCCTTTGGAGCTCGAATTTTCCAAAATCCCTTCTTAGTGCGCATCTACACCATGATAGGATACTTGAGCCCAAATTTCAGTTTCCTAGCTTTTACCGTTTGGGCTGTGGGGTGTTGATTGTGTTTCAATTTTTCCACGGAAAACCCCCCTTTTTTCATGCCCCAGGAAAAATGGTGAAAACCAAGTATACAGTTTTTCTTGTATTCTTTTTGAGAGTATACAAACTAAGTTTGAAGTTAATTGGATGAAAATTGTAGATTTTTCATACAAACGTTGGAGCCCGTTTTCCCCCCTTTGGCGTTCGAATTTTCCAAAACCGCTTCTTAGTGCTCACCTACACCACTGAAGACAACATGTGTCCAATTTTCAGCCTCTTAGCTCTTACCGTTTGGGCTGTGCGTTGATTGCACATAGCTTTTCGTTTACCGAATTTTCCACCGGAAAATCATTATTATTCAGGCCGCAGGAAAAATATTGAAAATCCAAGTATACAGCTTTTTTTGTATTCTTTTTGAGAATATACAAACTAAGTTTGAAGTTAATCGGATAAAAATTGTAGATTTTTCATACAAACGTTGGAGCTCGTTTTCCCCCCTTTGGAGCTCGAATTTTCCGAAACCCCTTCTTAGTGCTCACTTTCACTATAAGAGGGATCTTGTGTCCAAATTTCAGCTTCCTAGCTCTTACTGTTTGGGCTGTGCGTTGATTGCCAATCAGTCAGCCAGTCAGTCAGTACAAACTGTTGTATATGTATATATAGAGATGTTTATTATAAAAGGAATATTATATGTAGTATTATGAACCAATGCGGGAAATGTTAATACAACAGATTTAAAGAAATGGAATTATAAACTAAAACGTTGACGCACTGCTACGGACGAAACGACTTCTCTTCACAACTACGCTGCTCACTTGTTTCTGTACGGAAAATGGGCAGGCTGGCAATACTCTTGTATGTTGTCACCTTACATTCGGCCCTCCTGATCTTCGTCATCCGACCCGGATGACAATAGCTCCTCGTTTTCGATGAAATACTTCCACAGCTTAATGTATCGGCCATTTCGCTTAACCTTTACAATTTCATAAGGTCCCAGAAATTCGCTAGCTTATTTCCGGCCCGCCATAAATTGTGTGGTGACGAGATCACCTAACTTGTAGCCTTACTCGTTGCAGCGCCTCTTATCGTAGTTTCGCTTGTAGTCCTGCTGTGCCTGTTGTATGTTGCGCTTAGCCTCTGCACGCAACTCTTCCCGCTTCGCTTCACCCTCTCGACTTGACCGTTGCCTCTCGCTGCACCTGTTGTTGTCCAGACGTGCTCAACCATGATTGCGTTTACAAACTCTTTAAACGGAATAGACGTGAAGGTGGCGCCCCTGTCGCTTATAATATGCTTCGGAAAACCAAAGACCGCTATGCCCGGAGTTTTGCTTAGAGCTCCGCGTTGATTCACATATTTGGTGACGAGGTGTGTGCCCATTGTTGATATCTCAGGGCCGTTGTCTGTACTAATCCGGCCGGGCTCTCGTTGATGATTATGACACCGTCATCCACGAGCACGATTTGCTTCAGATGACTGGGCTGAGAGTGTCAGAGAGCTGTGCCTCCAGCGTGCAGTGCGCGTGCGCAAGTGTCATGGTTCGCCAGCCTGCAGAAAGTAGTATAGGTTGTTGCGGTGCACTCCGTGACTGCTGGGGATACCCCAGCGCACTCAGCCACGGTGTCATCTTGTAGCTGCAGCACAGTGTGATGATGGGACACGGGGAATATGACCTTTTTGCAAATAGACTTAACCCTGAGGTACGCAATTAATATGTGAACAATATTTTCGGACTGAAAGACTTTTATGCTCGATGCCTCCATTAACTAACTAACTAACTATGAGTACGTCTATTATTATATTTTATTACTAGCAGGTATTGCCCGTCTTAACCCGGCTCAATATAATGTTTCCAATTGTATTTATTTTGTGTGTGCATAACCTACCCATATGTTTTCACCTTATAAGTTACCAGTAGGAAGGCATTTAAGGTATTTAAATGAACATTTTCTGTTCTTGACAAAAAATTGTTCAGTAGTCCGTTACATTTTTGTTCTTGCCAAACTATTTCTTTAAACGAACATGACCACTATAACTAATATTTTTTTAAACCTCCCCCCTTTGGAGTTAGAATTTTCCAAAAGCC